AGGAGTGAACCCCCCCTCAGTGACATCATCGAACCATCCACGATGACGTCACTGCACGCGACCGACTCATGCATCCATTTTCTTGTGCAAGAAAAATTAGTCGCCCGAAAATCCGTAGCCGCAGAGAATGCGGTCAGATTTTCACTTAACGGTGTTGCCGCCAGTGTTGCCAGATTTCTCGAACCCGCAACACGGCGTTTTCCACGCACCGCGATGCGTACTAAACGCACGCCTCGCGCCCGGGTTCGATCGGCTCCTTTACTCGCACGATTCGTCCAGGCGCCTGGAAGAATCCCAGGTGCCTGGGATTCTTCCGAGCGACGCGTTCACGCTCGCTCGAAGCCGACGGAATAATCAGAAGGTCGACTGCATCCGGCAACCCTGCGATCACGAGTCGGAAATTTTGGCGAATTTGCGCAGCTCCGATCGCGTCAAATTCCGAATGACAAATGGTTTTTGGCAGGGACATTTAAATGGAAACTCCTCGCCGATCGATCACCGAATGATGATGAGTTGCTTCTCGTCCAGGGTTGCCAGATTTTCATCGGCCTCGCCTAACATTAATCACGATATCGGCGATATCATAAATTATATCATAAATTAATAAGGAATGAAGATATCATTAAGGCTGATGTGCAGTGCTGCACGAACGGCATCCCCTGCTCGAAAGGGACCGGGAGCATGGCAACCCTGCACGCACTCGTCAGAACCGTAATAACGATGATTGCCTAATAATTCCATTTCTTGGTTTCGCCGCGGGGGTCCAACACCGAAATTCCAAAGGGGAAAATTTCGAGCATTTGGCTATTCGTCAATTTTTGGCCTTCGTCAATTTTCGATCTTCGTCAATTGTTGACCGTCAATTTTTTTGTCTTCGTCAATTTTTTTTGCCTTCGTCAATTTTTGATCTCATTCATGATGCGTGAATTGCATCACACGGAGATGAAAAATAAACAAACAAACAAACGAGCCCGGAACTGAATGGAGTTTTTGTTCGCCGCCGGTTTCGTAACGGCTCGTGGCCTTCAACCGCCTTTTTTCGGCGGGAATGACGGATTCCCGCCCTCGGAGGCACCGATGCGAAAAAACACCACATCGCATTTCACGCTTGAAAAAAAATTATATATAATAAATTAACTATTGAAATATTAAATTTTTAAATTATATTATATTATTATAAGTTCAAACATTGCTTCAAAGACGAGATGCGATTCACATTTGAGCGCTCCCAAGCAATTAAAGAAATCGCGACCGATTTTCCTCGGAAGCGCTGTCGACCCCTGCGACCTCCGCGGAAACTCGGCGGAAATCCGCGACGACCAAGGCCCCCCCACGCCAGCCCTCGCAAGCAACCCGGGCAATCGTCATCCGAGCAATCCCCTCCCAGGCAATCACCATCCCGATTGCGTACGCACGGAACGAAGGCGGCTATTATCATCGCCAAAAAATCGCGGCGAACGCCCAATTAGGATCCTAGGAACGTAACGCCGCGTGCCCGATCCATTGTGGACGAAGGTCGAGATTTTCAGACGAAAACGGAAACACTCTTATTATAAAGGACAAAGGACTTTTTTTTTTTCGTTCTCGCTCGAAAGAGCGAGATATATATTCGCCTGGCATCGCGGGGTCGGGCTTTCAGACCCTTCGCTGCCGTCGACCAGGTCGCTCCAGTCGACATGTGTCGCGTGTTGTCGGTCGTGTTGGCCGCGTGCCTGGCCTCCGCGGCCCGTGCGCCGAAGAAGGCGGAAAAGCCGACGAAGGCGGTGTCGAAGGTGGAAGGACGGAGTTTCCTCCTGGAATCCGGCGGTTTCTTCGACGACGATTACTACGGCGGCGGTTACCGGCGGAGTTACTACCGCCCCTACGACGATTACTACCGCGGGTCCTACCGCCTCAACGACGGCTACGACTACCGCTACGACGACACCTACCGGAATCGCTACTACGGCTCGCGATACCCCTCGAACTGCAGATACGGCCGGTGCATCAGCCTCGACACGAACGACATCGGGTACGGACCGTTCGGCCGATACGGCGGATTCGATTACGGCACCGGCCACGGCTCCTACGGCGGCGATTACGGACGTTACGGCATCGGTTACGGTAGCGACTACGGCTACAGCGGCTACGGCGGCGTCTACGACAACCTGGGCGGCAGCTACGGCCGCTACGGCAGCGGTTACGGCCGTTACGGTAACGGTTACGACCGCTACGGTAGCGGTTACGGCCGCTACGGCGGCGTTTACGGCAACGGCTACGGCAGCGGTTACGGAAACGGCTACGGTAGCGGTTACGGTTACGGCCGCTACGGCAGCGGTTACGGTTACGGCCGCTACGGCGGCACCGGCTACGGCTACGGAAACGGCTACGGCGGCACCGGTTACGGCTACGGAAACGGCTACGGCGGCACCGGCCGCTACGGCCGCTGGGACGAATACGGCTTCCGCGACTACTTCAGCTCCTACGGCGGCTATTCCCCCCGTCCTTACGTCGGCGGCCGAACCCTCTACCGACTCATCAACGGGGGCAGGGACGCCCAGCTCCGATGCGAGTTCCCGGGTCAAAACATCTACGGCGTGAGTTTCTCATCGCTTCGATCGATCGCCTCCGACGTGCACGTCTCACGCGTTTCTCCGTCTCAGCGGGTGGAATGGTGGCCGGTGGACGACCCGAGGTACAACTGGCAGTTCCGCGGGCGGGTCAGCACGTACGAGTACGGGGGCACGGCGACGCTGGAGATCCGGGACGTCCGGCCGGACGACTTCGGGATGTACTGGTCAGTGGCTTCCCGCGAGCGTGCGTGCGTGGATCGCGTCTCGGGGCGTGGAAACGCGTGAATGCGCGTGAAAACGCGGGATTTCCGGGACGCGCTTTCACGGCCGGGCGTACAATGCGACGCTTTTCAATTTTTCCCCCCCATTTTTTCATCCGCGGAATTTTTTTTTCCCCTCCTCGCAGGTGCGTGGCGGACGTGACCGGTTACTACGGCGGTTACTACGGCGACTACAACGGTTACAACCGCTACGACTCCGACAACTACCGCTCCGGCTACGGCTACGACGACTACCGCCCCGGCTACGACGACAACCGCGGCCTCGGCAGGAGTTACTATCCCGGCCGATACCAGCGAGTCTACCAGATCATCTATTTCACGCCTTATGACTCTTATTCCAGACTCTATTGATTCACATCTGACTCACATCTGATTCACATCTGATTCACATCTGATTCACATCTGATTCACATTTGATTCACGTCTGATTCAGATTTGATTCGGATTTGATTCAGGTCGATTTTTCTCGTTGATCTCCGGGCATTTTTACTGTCTCTGGTTTTTCTTTGTTTTTTGAATGCTTGTGTTCCGA